TGGTCTCTAGGGATTTGCAGAACCTTTGCCTGTCACCAAGGCCTCAGGAAATTCTGACAGAGACCATCAGTCCTCTGTCACTTACCTACCTTGTAATCTGATGTATGATCTCCAACTGCCCTGACTTTATTCTTCCCTGAGTATTAAGTTGATAAAATGCTACATGCCTAAATATTTACTGTGGGGCCTTAGAGCAGGGGATGCTCTTGGGTCCCAGAGGAGCTGATGCCCAAGCCAAAATGTGCATTTGCTTTTTTCAACCAGAGAGGGAAGCAAAAAGAGGAGAACATATGCCAGGTAGGCACTGCTATCCTGTCAATTGTAGTCTGCTGAGGAAAATAGATAGGAGACAAATGATCACCCATAGTACTCACAGAAGGAGGATGAAGTCAGAAGGGGATTAGGGAAGATGGGAGTGGAGATCTGTAAGGTGACAAGGGACAGAGGCAGTTACCTTGTATTTGAGGGGTAGGATCAAAGAAAGAGACCCTAGAGAGTTCAAGGGACAGTGTGACAGAAATGTTAACAGATTCTTCTTGAGTAGGAATAGTGACGCCTGCGATTCACAGGACAATTTTACAAATATGTCTTAAGAAAAAATGTACAATTAGGGACATTGCTCAGTCGGTATAGTTCTTGTCACAAAAAGAACGGTGACATGAGTATGATTCCCTGCACCGATAAAAGCCTGGTATGGTGGTGTGCACCTATGATTCCAGTGTTGGGAAGAGTGAGACCAGAGGGTCCCCGGAGCTTACAGGCCAGGAAATCTAGCCAAACTGGCAAGCTCTGGGTTCAATGAGTGGGTTTGTCTCTAAAAGTAAGGTAGAGAGTGGTTGAGGAGGACACTCAACATCAATGTATGACCTCCATGGGCACACGCATGTGCACACATGTGGACATGCACTGCCCCCCATAAACATGCACATCCATGCACACAAAATTTTGTAGTATTGTAATTTAAAATTTAGTGTAGCATTCCTGGTCATTTCACTAGTTTCTCTGAAAAGGTAATTTATGTGAAACAGAAAGCAAAAAATATAGAGAAATATCGTTACATAGCTATATAGAACAGATAAACAACAGAATAAATGAAATAAAATGGACGTGTTGTACTTTATTTAAAAAAACTATAAGACAAGGCAGATCTGGAGTTGAGGAACCATCTGGAATAGAGTCTCAGCTCTGCTAATTCCTAGTTATTTGAGGCTGTCTGTGTCAGGCACAATGCTGAATGCTTACACAGCCCAAGCCATTGCATTCTTACAGCAATCAGTGGATAAGCATGCCTTCTTCATCGTGGTGGTCACTATGTTCAACTCCATATTACAGAAGAAGATACAGGGTCCTAAAAAACCCAAGTAACATGCTCAGATTGTCATAGATCATAAATAACAAATCTGGCATTTGAACTCCCCCAACTCTGCATGTTAAAACCAGAGTCATTTGCTTTGCCCAGCCTACAGGGTGACTATAACGTTTAACCCATCTGAAAGCCCTTTGTTATGAACTCAACATCTCACACTAACCATAGATGAGTACCTACCAGGAGAACTAGCTCAGTGTTTCTGCCCTGATATGCAGACCTGTTCAAGTCCCTTGGAACCTCATTCCAACCAGTCAACCAGTCAAAACTTTGGAAGGCTTTTCTTAGCAGGGAACTTCACCTTATAGTGATCTATGGGTCACTGAAAACATATGCCAAATATCATACACATGTGTCCATCCCAACTTCCAGCAGGGTGGTTACTAAAAATGCTTAAGAACGCCTGGGAAGGGAACTCTCTCTGCACTCTGACTCATAGAAATTGACTTTGGATAATAAAGGAAGATTGTTTTGTTTTGTATGTTTTACTTGTGAGACTGGATCTTGCTACGTAGCCCATGCTGGCCTTGAACTCACTCATGCTCCTCTCATTTCAACTTACCAGGTACTAGGATTACTGGCATGTACGAACATACCTTGGTGAAGGAGATTTTCATGTGTGTGGAATATATATGTGTACATATTTGTGTGTACATGATATATGTACATGTGTGGATGCTAGATACCAATGTTGGATATCTTCCTCAATCATTTTTCACCTTATATTTTAATACCCAGACTACGGAGTGTGGCTGGTAAGTGGAAGGGTTTGGGATGGCTTCACATCCCCCTACTACCACCACCAGCAGCATGGATTGTAGACATAGACCATCAGTCAGTTTGAGTTTTCTGGTGATCTGAACTCAGTTCCTCATGTTTGTGCAAGCACTTTGTGCACTGAACCATCACCCTAAACACAAGATCTTTGATTCGATCTGATTGACACATGAATCTTTCATACATACATAGGTTGATCCACACATATAACCACAGCTGGACTCCTCCAAGAATTAATGCAAGTTAACACCCGACAAGACTTCCTGACTCCTCTGTAGAAACCCATATATCTAGGAGGCATTTTGCAGAAAAGGGAAGTCTAAGACTCTTATCAGTCTGTACTTGGAATGCTTTGGCAGAGCTTGACAGCCCTGCTCAAGTCTTCACAAATGTCCCTGTGAACATTTTCATGCACTAGTGTGACCAATATAGTTATGATCTTCCTAATCTAATAATATCCCCTTCTGCCAATGTACATTGAATACGTTTAATTTTTAAAAAAGAAAGTCATAGCGTTGGTCCTTTGTACTCTTCATTTTTGCTGTATGATTTTTAGAAATATATGGAAAGTGTTAATCATATAAACTGAATACTTTCAGATCACAAACTTTGGAATTCAATGGATCTGTGTTTGAATTCCATTTCCACTGGTCATAGGCTATGTGACCTTGGTGAAGTCATTCCATCTGTCCAACCTTTACGTGTCTCATGTGGAGCGAGGTTATAATAGTAACATCTTCACCTTCACACTGTTACAGATTAATCAATGTAATACTCTTAAAGCCCTTTGCACAGTCCTTGGTACATGCTAAAAGCTTAGTAAATGGTAGCCATTGGCAGGATAGACACAGACTGGAGAGAAGGTCTACTGAAAGCATTTCTCTAACAGGGGTGAAAGCAATTTCTTTTCCCAAGGTCATAAGTAAATCAGAAGAAAGAAAGAAGTCTGTACTGACTACGTGTTGGTAGCAGTTACTAACTACCTCCAAATCCTAGTGTCATGAATGGACATTTTCAGTGCTAAAGGAAATAAGGGGAGCTAGGGCTGAGATTAGTGATAGCCAGAGAAAAATTATATTCTGTGATGTGTCCCTGGCACTCCACAGGTGTTCAGCCTCAACACTGCCCACCTCTCTATAAGCAGGTCCTGGGGAACTGAGTCAACCCCAACCACCACCAACATGAGAGCATTCCAAGTGGACTCATTCACTTCACAGACAAGTGAAATGAATTTCTAGGGTAGCATAGCTACTTATGGTGAAAACTTCATGTGTGCAAAACCTGTTTATCTCTAAGCATCAGCACACAGATTTGAAGCAGCCTTGTGTAGCCCACCTTCATGGTAATTTTACTTAAGCATGAACCTCTGTGAAGGCATGGATCTTAAATTTCCTACAAAAGCTCATTTGTTGAAGGTTTGGTCACCAGTGGCTGGCATGGCTGAGAATTATGGAAACCTTAGGAGGTGGAACCTACTTGAAGGAAGTATGCTATTGAGGACATGTTCGCTACATGCACTGGGGACTCCCACACTTTCCATTCTCTGTATACCAGCAATCATGTTGCGAACAGTATCTTCCATTAAATCTTCTGCCATGACCTTACCAAACACCCAAAGGTACCAGAAACAAATGACCACTGAACCATGAGCCAAAATAAGTCTTCCTTCCGTTTAAGCTGGTTACTCTCAGATTTTGTCATAGCAGACAGCTGACTAATACAACCCTCTTTCTTATTATTTATTTTTTGCCTCACTTTAATTGAAGTCTCTCTGTTTTTACTAAACCAAATTTTAAAAGGAAACTTCGTATGATTGGACATTAACTTAAATAAAAGATTATCATAGGAATAGCTAGCAGAGGGTAGGGACATGGATTAGTGGCGAAAAGCACTTTCTGTGCAAACATGAGGATCTGAGTTTGCATTGCTAGCACACACAAAAGGCTAAGCATAGTTGCATGTACCTATAACCATGGCATTAGGGAGTAAAGACAGGCGGACCATGGGATCTCTGACCAGCCAATCTATACAACATGGTAAGCTTTGAGTTCAGTGAAAGCCCTTTCCTTGGGGAAATAAGAAGGAGGGTGATAGATGGGGATACCTGACATCCTCCTCTGACATGTGCATGTGTGCACATGGACACATATACTTGCATGCACATATGCACATGCACACATTCATCACACATAAACTAAATTTTACAAAGCCACAATGACAAATGAGTAGCAAACAATTGTACTAAACCCCATCTGAAAGACACAGTGGTCTATCAAACTACGAGAGACTGGGGTGAAGTCTCAATCCATGCAAGAAAAGCTCAGGGGCTCAAGGGGAGTGTACTGAAGACAGACAACTACCCATCTAAGATTCCATCATATGGAAAGTCTACAAAATACTTGCTTCCAAAGAATATGGGATAAATGGGGTGGGACAACTGCATTGACTCAATATAGAGTGTGACCTGGTGTCTGCTCTTCCTTTATTTTATGGTCTTCATGGCTTGCGCCTCTTTTACCTGTACTTACCATGGGTCTTGAAGGTCCTTGCATTTGGAGGCTTACTCTAAGTGCCAGTAAAACAATCTACTTCTTTGCCCAATTCAAGTCTCATCCCCAGAGAGTTTGGCTGTTCATAGTCTTGTTTGTGTCATGGCTGTAGGTCAGCCTTGTGCCTATGTGTTATCTTATTCCATTTCAACTATATTTGGTTGGGAGGCTATTATTTAATCCACATTTTGCAAACGGAGAAGTCAAGTAATGGGAAAATTATTGAACTTGCCGGTGTCCTTAGCTAATAACCTAGAGTCACTGATTCTTCATTTTATGCTCTTCATCAGTTTTATATAACCCCTTACAGTATATCTTTATTTAATTTGGCTCAAAAACGTTTCCCAATCTTTCTTTATGGTTCTACCAATGAACTCAGCATGACAGGAGCAAACAAAGAGGATGACAATTTCTTTGTCCTTGAATTGTGTATGTTGCTAATACAGTCCAAAAATAGTTACTGGCCAACTACTGGGAAGAACCAAGACATGGAAAAATTCATATGCAGGCAATATAGACAAACACCAAAATGCAGAGAGCAATCAGGGAAGAGTTCTGGATGGCTCTGCACAGGCATGTGGTGTTAGGCTCTAGCATCCTCATGGCTTTGGAAGAGACACCACCACACCTGCAAAGAGGGGAGGCACAAAAGGATACAGATCATAGGAAGCTTTAGGGTACCAGGAGACTCCCTCTTGATGCCTTATAAATTAACAACAATAACAAAACAAACAAGCCAGAAAAACACTTGGTCACAGGGCAGCACTGTTTCCCACTCCCTAGTTATGGTTTCCAGGAACCCATTATACTAAACTCTATGAGGAACAAAACTCCAATGTTAAGAGTGCCAATGGGTCAAAAAGCAGCCATCCCCAAGGATGTTTTAGAATTTGATTGTGTGTGGAAAAGGCCAGCAGTCAGAGTGGCCTGGATTATAGACTCCAGGGAAGGATGCTTTCAGCCAGCCGAGGTGCAAGGGAGGGTATGGGGATAATGTCCTTATTAGGACTGTTTGCTGGGAAGCCTGGGGTGAGCTAGTGAGGTGAGGGCTAAGGAAATAAGAGTTGACGCCTACAGTCTAGTGCCAAGTGCTGCTTCATTATGGACCTATTTTAGCTAATTCTCTGCGGGTAGCAATTCTCCTCTTTTCAGGCATTGTGGAAGCCTGGGAGAGGCCATCAGTCTTTATTAAGTCTCCAGGCTCCTAGGATTCCTCTTATTGTCGCCACAGCTATTGGTATTTCCAGATCTCAGAGATATTCAATTGCCATTACCCCCTGCCTGGTTAAAAAAATAAAAAGCAATCTGTCTATGAGGCGTCTTCTCTGTGAGCTGCTACTTTTCTAGGCTAGTCATCTACATCTTCACTGATGGGCATATTGATTTGGCTCAACAAGTCCATGCTTCAATTATCTGCACCTGTGTTTCAGCACCCAGACATTTGTCTTTTGGGAAACCTGACCCAAAGCTGCATCTTTTCCTCCAGTTCCTACCCTGCTCCTACCATTGTTACTTCCACCTTCTCTGCCTCTGCTTTTGTGATCATGAGCTGGGCCACCCACGGGAAGTATGTATCCACGTGTACTGACTTCTGAGTAGAAAAGCAAAATAGCCCTATCCATCTTCTCCACTGATAGGCTTCCCTTCTTCTTTCACATCACAGTGAAGCCTCACCTTGCCCATCCAAGTATAAAACTCCAGGACTCATGGGCCACTGAACATCTGCATCTATGTTAAACCATAATTAACAGGTGGCTAGAATATTTTCCGGTTTTGCTTTGCAACTTCTTGTACAGTACCTGGCCCAAAGGAAACATACTCTATGTGGCCATTGTTTGAAGGAATGACTAATTGACCCAGTGTGGTTCTGATCCCGATAATTCTGTCAGATCCTTGTAGGTTACAATGTTACCTCACATTCTTAGTGCCATTTGTAATGCCTGGAATATGGTCTCTTAGTAAATGTTTGTTGAATGAATGGACTCCCACATTCAGGTCACCAAAGACCAAGGTGCATTAATCAAAAGAGAAAAATGGAGCCCAGTAGACTTAAAACAATAATGTGATAATAATAATGGTGAACATTCCATGGCACAGGAGAAATTCAAACAAAGGGGCTACAAACTTATGAGGAGGTCACGGCTGAGGAAGGAGCGGGGACATGTTTTAGGATTAAGTGGCTGAGCTCATCGGCAGTTCTGGCATTTATCTGAGGGCTCAGTGTCCATACCTGGCGAGGGGAAAGATCCATCTGCCAGTAGGCAACTCCTGTGGCTTTCCTCTGTTTCATAAATGCTCAAAGCAGGGCAGATGATTCAAAAGCCTGTCTGGGCCAAGAGGCTGAGATAAGCAAAAGGCATAGCTTGGTCAAGGGACTGTGGCTGATTCCAAATACATGCCGTGCCCAACAAGTAGAGGCAGCTGTTCCTTAGTTACAGACAGCAGTTGCCATGTATAAATAAGGGCCTTTTATTGTGACAATGCTACCACCAAAAATATATAAAAATACAAGCTCTAAGTCTTGTCATCTTTAAGTGTTGGCCACTAACTCAATTTCTCAGCTCAAAAAACAGTCACCCTTCAGGTCAAACAATACACATCTGTGTTTGGCACCCAGACAGCAGGTCTCCTCCGGTCGTGCACAGCTGGCTTACAACCTCTGGTCTAAACAGATTAGACCTGGGAATTTGAAACCACTGTTTTGCGCCCACAAGATTAGCAGATGTTAAGAAATCTGATAAAAATCATATGTTGCCAAGTAGAGCAACGGGCAGGCGCCTCTGAGGCTTCTAGGAGTGACAACAAAGTGGCCACTTTAGAAAAGAAACCAGCATTGCCTCAAAATGTAAGGATGCCCAAATCTTTTCAGGGGAATCGGTGCAAATGTCCACACTGCTGTATATGAATTCTCATAGCTGCAGTCTATTTGGTCTAAAATGAAGCTGGACACAAATCAAAAGCCAAATGACAGCATCATAAATAAGCACTGGGGTATTCATGGAACAGAATAAAAATAACTCAAGTGCTATCCGTTAGCATGGATCTGATGACTTCAGGAGTAAGATAAGCCCTTCTAAAATCTTGCTTCTAAAGTCCCTAAGCTCTTTCTAGCTCCGAAGGAAAATAGCTCTCAACACAACTAACTCACTCTAAGTGAAACTTTTGTTCATTCAGGAAATATCTTCTGATCACGCAAATGTCAGGTGTTCTGCTAGGTGCTGGGGAAGTCACAGTGAACTGTGCGGACACTGTCCCTGACATTACATAATGCAGTTTGGAAGTTTTTTGCTTCTGATGTTTCCTTTGTTATTTTATTTACTGGGTCAAAGTCCCCCCTTCCCCCAGTTCACATAGTACAGTGACTTTTTCAAAGCATCTCATCTGCTAGGTAATTGTGACTGAAACAGTAACAAGGACTCTTATAGAAGCCCCCCAGGCCAAGGCTTCACCACCAGTCATAGCACCTTTCAAAAATAGGTGAGCAGCAATTTCACCAAAGGAACCTCTTTCTTTTGAGTCACCTGTAACTTGTTTTGCAATCAGAGTCCACAAGACCTATTCAGTATTGTGTAAATCTCACAGAACATCTCATTTCCCTTCAACTTTTCATTAGTTTGAATTAAAAATTAAAAATCTTGCATGGATCTTTCTAATTCCCAACACAGCAAACACAGCAACCCTCCCCCTTTCCTCCTCTCTCTCTCTCTCTCTCTCTCTCTCTCTCTCTCTCTCTCTCTCTCTCTCTCTCTCTCTCTCTCTCTCTCTGAGTCTGAAACCCCTTCAGACTCTCATTCAGTTTGGCAGTACCATCTCTGTGGCCTGCACAAAAGTGACCTGACCTTGTTCCTAATGAAAGATGGGGAGAATGACTTGTTTCCTGCCATACAGGCACATGGCATGTAGATCACTCTCATCTTTGCAGTTTTGCTTGTTTATTGTGAGCTAGACAAGCAGCTTCTACATCCTAACTTCATATCAAAGAGTGCCTGTTTGGAGACATCTAAATAAACTCTCAATCAAGGAGGTGAACATGGTTCAGGGAAGGTGCAGGAAAAAAAGTGCCATATGAGTGGCCACAATCGATATGGCTGAGGAATTTTCTACAATAAATGAACAAACAAATAAATAAGATTGTAGAGGTTGTGTTGCCTCTTTATATGGACACATTTTTAATTATGTGCATGCGTCTGTGTCTGTTCATGTGAGTACACTTACCTGTGGAGGCACTGGATCTCCCTGGAGTTGGAGTTACAGGCAGCTATGAGCTGCCTGAAATGGGTGTTAGGTTCCTCTGCAAGAGCAGTAGGTACACCTAACCACTGAACCATCTCTCAATCTCCCGCCTACACATTTAAATACAGTTTTCTTTCTTTATTCTTGAGAATTTCTAGCATATAAATAAACTTATTATGATCACATGCATCCCCATTGCCCACTCTACCATATTGCCGTGACAACATACCCTCCTTGTATATCTTCTTTTAATACACAAAGTTCAATTACTACATGGATTTGGGCTTTGTAACCTTGGCCTTAACCTTAAAATACTGATGTTCCTTTGACAGAAGTATTTCATGCTGAAAGCTCTGTCTACTTTTTGATCATTTATCTACCTGACCATTTTCTTTCCTTTCTTCCTTCCTTTCTTCCTTCCTTTCTTTTCTTCCTTCCCTCCATACTTCCTTCCTTCCTTCTTTTCTTCCTTCCTTGCTCTCATAAACATCTCTGAGTGGCTCTTAAATGCTGGCTGGTGGGAGGGGTGCTGTTTTCAGTTATTCACCAGTTGTATTTCATAAAGGGTCTGTACACATCTACCCACCACCATTTGTAAATTGCTACAGTTCCCAAGGACTACTTTGAGCTTGGACACGTATCAAGCTTCAGTCAGTAGAATGGGAGTAGGCACCTAGACAGGATTTTCTAGGCTCCCCACTTCCGAGGAGAGCTTGCTTCTCTTTTCTTTCTGAGAACCATATGTCCCTGACAGAGTCTCATCTTTCCACCTGAACTGATAGGAGGCGGGAGCTGATGCGACAATCAGAGCCACATCTTACCCGCAGCAGAACAAGACTTTTCTTGGAAGTGGAAAAAGAACCATTTGTCTCTGGAAGCAGCTAAGGTGATTGGGTAGTGTATTGCTACAGCATGCCTGATTAATTAATTTAGCAAAGTAGCAAAATAGGTTTGAACCCCACTTCTGTAGTGTTTATAGTCTAGATGGAAGAGTAAGACAATAAGTACATGGACAAATTAATATTATGCAGCTATTCAATGACATATCTTCCTTTTGCATCAGCTCCTCTTCCTTACTTAACTATATGTGACCTGTGACGCTTGGCCCTCCTTGCTTTTGGCCCCATTCTCTCCCTTAACAATTCCATCTATTCTCATAGCTTCAAGAATCAAATCTCTTCATGTGACTTTCAACCCTACTTGCTGTGTGTCCTTCACACATTGATTCCCATGTCATGTCTGTTCCCAGCAGTCAACCCCCAGGCTCTCAGACCCATTTGTATACCCAAACTCCACAGGACCACATAGGCTGCTGAGGAGTGAGCTTAGCTCTTCATCTTATTCACCAAACACTTTACCAACTAGTGTGTCTCCCCAGTGCCTTCCCTGGGGTTTCTTAATGGTGTTGGTGCTGGAAGAGTAAAGGACTATAGCTTCAGGGTACTTCCCTCACTGTCGACGAGAAGACACCTCTTTTTTATGGTTTCTGTGGGTTAAAATTAGGTATTCTTTCAGATGGCTGTTCCTGGATAGTCAGAATATTTACTTAGTAGCTGAGGATGTTATCAAGGGTGGCTATATAACCACAAGCAAGGATGAAACTGAGTTAACTTTTTAGGATTTGTCATCAAAGTTGGGCGGTACAATTTCTGTCATAGCCTCTTGGTTGAGAGCATATGGTGAGCCATCTCAGACCCAAAGACTAGGAATTCTGCTTTATTTTTGGATGTGGTGCAAATGCAGGTGATGTTTTAGTTATCTTTAGACAGTGGGATTTGCCTTGCTATCCCTTGGTTCCTCTTCCTAGTTTCCTGTCTGTGACTGGCCAGATCGTGCCAATTTACTCTTGCAGCCATTCCTGGCTTCCAAACCTCACTGCACATTCTTCTAGATCAAGTTCAAATAACACTCAACACAGATTAAGATTGATGGGAACTGACTTTCCACTGTAATTCCTCTTTCCTTTTCACCACTGCTGAGAATTTCCACTTAAGCCAGATCTGCTGATGTCACACATATGCACAGTGGGTGGTATGTAGCAAGTCCTCCTCAAATATCGGATTTTTCTGAAAGTCCTTGATCACTCTCCCTTATCTACTGAATTAGATATAGTATCCTTTGTTTGACATATAGATATACATGTATATTCAACGTATTTATTGAATACACATTCTAGACCGGAATGTTTATCACTACTGTGTTGGTGATAAAATGGAGATCATCATGAATATGCCCCATCATTTGTGTTTTGTTTATTTAGGGTAGAGGGTGTAAATATTTGTTAGTTCATTTAAAAAGTGTTTAATGTCTTGAGCACCCACATGTTCACCAGACATGATCCTAACTTGTTCTAGGTGAGAGGACATTAATCAAGACAATGTTAATATAGCTACATTGTGTCTTATTTGACACAATGGATTTAATTTCCTGGTGTTCTTTCTCTTGGAATGCATGCTCTGAATAAACCGGACTGCCCATTTATTTCCGTTTTTATGTTCAGAAAGTTTCCATTTCTCTTTTAGTTTATGTTGGTCTCTTTATCTGAAATTCTTATATCTCTCCAGTCTTCAAAAATCTACTAAATCATGTACTATAAGAAATGCCTTATTCTATTTTCCAATTCAGTGGGGACTCTTTGTCATTTATATATATATATATATATATATATATATATATATATATATATATATTTGGTTTTTTATGAGACAGGGTTTCTCTGTATTGTTTCAGAGGCTATCGGTCCAGCCCGGCCTCGAACTCACAGAGATCCGCCTGCCTCTGCCTCCCGAGTGCTGGGATTAAAGGCGTGTGCCACCACCGCCCGGCTGTCATTTATATATTAACAGAATACTTCTGGCTTCTTTATTCAACCTTGAGTGATAGATAAGTGTTTATAAATCTACGTACAGGTCCTGGACACTAAAGGGCAAAGGCTGTGTCCTAAGCATTGCCCTCCGTCTTGTTTACCTACACTTATGATATAGATACTAGGCACTTACCTGTAAAATCACGAACTGTTCAGTGTTCAGTGAGAATGCCCTCTTTTCCTACATCAACATCACCTTTCCAGCAGGCTTACATCCTACGGGTTTGGAAATCCCTTTAGGAAAAAAAATAACTATATTAAGTTCTAGGGTTGAGCAATATTGATGCAGCTGGATTCACATGCACAACTGTGAGTTCCTCCCACTAGCTCTTTTACATCCTCTAAGATCTGGAGGATCCCTGAGGCTCATGGGCAGAAGAGGTGGGAATAATCAAGTTGCACAGTGAGAAAAGCAATCTTATAGGTATGTGAAGGCTGGGCTGAAGGTAATATCTGGCAAAGGAGGAGGGGTCTTAAATAACACTTGAACTTGAAGATGAGGACCTCCAACTTACAAGTCAATGAAAAGGAACAGAAAGGAGTTTAGAAAACCCAAAATGAAAGAGCAAGAACATTGCAATAGTCAACTGGACTGTTGACTGTTTGAATTAAAAGAGACATAGAAAATTGCCAAAGCACACCTCTTGGTGTGTCTGTCATGCTGTTTCCAGAGATGATGTGGGTCACCTAATTGAGTGGGGAAGACACATGGCCCACTGTGAGTAAGCTAGAGGCTCATGTGCAACCAAAAGTAAAAAGATGATAGCACATGTTGGAATCTACGTGAGTCAATGTTGCTGTTGCCATCATCTGTAAACATCAGGATCCAGGCTCTTCAGTCCTTAGACATGGACTTGCTCCAGAGGCTGTCCAGCGAGATCTCCAGGCCTTGCGTTTCATGCTAGGAACTACATCATTGTTCTCTCTTGTTGTGAGGCTTCTGGCTTCCTGGATGAAGCTTTTTCTCAATCTTCAGTCTACAGGTGCCATTGTGAGACTATTTTCACCACTGGTCACATTAGCATCCCAATCAGTTCCCTTTTATAACTACACACACAGTCTGTTAGCTCCCTTCCTCTAGAGGGCCCTGGCTCGAATTGGCAGCTTTAGAGAGGATTGGCCTCAGCCCACTGGGATGACAACAGAACAGGAATGAGAAATCTGACTTTCCTCCCAGCTCTCAGTATTTCTTTACATGACCTCCGACAAATCATTTGGCCTCTCTAAACCTCAGTTTCCTCGTTTCTAAAATAAGATGAGAGGGCTGCTGGGTCACTGACCTCCTTTCTGTTCAGATTCTGCACTGCTGTCCATGCTCTGAGGGTAGCTGACTCTTCCTTTAGAAACATTCTGGTGTTCACTCCTCCCTTCCCATTGCCCTTGGCCTTCACAGAGTCATGAACAGTTGGTAACCTGTTCTAATGACAAGCTGTGGAGTGTTTGGTAAATCATTTTTTCTCAATCTGTAAGATGGGTATCATAGCAATACCTTCTACCTCTCAGTGAGGATTAAGTTAAATGAATATATCTCATGGTTTAGGGCAATGGAAAATACACGGTAAAGGCAACTTAACTGTTAGCTAAGATCAAAACTATTGACTTTGTTATTTTGTGGTTTATTTTAAGTAGAAAGGCCACTGCAGTCAGGATACAGAAAGATAGAGATGCACATGTGATCTCGTACAAGGGAGAAAGGTAATCTGAAAGAATATTATTGTATGTTCTTGTCATAATTATTAGTAGATTTTTATTTGCTGGAATCCACAGCTCTGCCCTTTCAACAAAAGCTTTAGCAACCTACAAGAAATATGACTTGTATTGGACTCCGACAAAGGCACTTGGTGCCCTCACTTTCAGAGATACTTTTCATATACTGAAGTACATATGAAGCGTTGCTGAGCATGTACACACCCTCATGCACCCACGTGCACATGCACACACATGCACAACACAAGTATACACACAGACACACACAAAGACCAAACACCATCTTTTTTCTTTCTAAATGCTGAAGTTTCACCAATTTTGAACTCCTCCAACAAATTCCAAATGAGTCATTTTCCAAAATCTCTCCTGTCAGTACAGCTTCTTAGTGCCAATTTCCTCTGTGCTGAAAATAAAATAAAAATAAAATAAAAAGGAGAAGACATGAAATTGATGGGTCCTGCTGGCTCCTAAAAACAGCCCCATTTAATTTAATACAATTGTGGGGATTTTTTCCAAAGCCTAAGTTCTCACATCTTCTTAGTCTTTTGCTAAGTTCAGAGAAGCAAGAGCTGACCTATGTGGGCTCTGATCACTTGAGGACCTAGGGGAGACACCAGCTCACATCTGTGCTTCCTTTACATCCTATATGGCACCTGTCTCTCATAAGAACCCTGCGTGTAGGCACTGTTATTACTGCATTTCACTGAAAAAGTAAACTGAATTTCAGAGGAAGACAAACCTAGTTCACATTTCCCTTTCCACATGAGATGAAATCTGGGTCCCTATGATGTCTAATTCAATGATCTCCCTCCAAGATTTGCAGTGAGATTTTCCTCATGTACCATTATTAGTCTATTGGTGGCATCTGATGAGAAATAATTGAAAAAGATTCCAGCAGATAAAGGTACTGCTGCCAAGTCCAACAACCTTATTTGAACCCACAAATCCCACAGGACCTATCAATGGGAAAAAAACAGACTTTCTGGGAAAGATTCTGAGGCCTCCGGTAACATATTGATGATGGGTTAGCAATGTCTGACACAGCATGGGATAAGCAAGTGGCTACACTTATGAAGGGTGCCTCACATCCCTACTCTACTGTAATATTTAGGCAGTTTAGCTGGTATCCAGATATTGTATCAATCCATAGATCATTAAGTCTCAGAAATTATCTTTTGATGACAAATAAGAACAAATATACTTTAGCCAGTAAAAAGAGGTGTCTCTTAGAAACCAATAAGCCACCAAGAACTGAAATGTCATCTGGAATGGGGAGGGGGGCTACAATTGTCACAGTCTTCATCTCTGGTTCTTCCCGTCTGACTTTTCTTCCTTTCCACCTCTCTGCCTCCTACTCTTCTCCATCCTACACTCTGTTTCACTCCCTCTGGGGCTGCGTGCTCCCTTCTGTCCACATCTAGAGCTGAGCCCCCCTTTTTCGCTGTGGATTGGCTTTCTGTCTCAAGGGACAGGAGCCAACATCATCAAAAGCAACATCTTCCAATAGAAATACAGTTGAAGCTGCTAAGGAAACTTACATTTTCTGTATAGCAGCACATCTTAAAAGGACTTTTAAACCCATGTTAATCCGGCTATTCAAAATATCCTTTAATGAAGTGTAACTAAACACCAAACTAATTTTAATAAGAGGCTCTGAATTTTCTCTTCATGATACGTCTTTGAAATCTGATATATAGTTTATACTTACAGCGTACCTCATACTTCAGCTACATTTCAAATGACCAACATTTTAGTGGCTACCAAATTGGGTGTCATGGATCTAGACTTCACATATCATTAATTCTAGAAGCCAGCAAACACCTAAGTGTGTCTACAGTTAGTTGATTAACCTCAACCAGAAACAGAGGGATCGTATTCCATAAATAAGGCAACCAAATAAGAGAGCAGAGGACTCGCCTGAGCCAAAACACAATGTTTGCTGAAGGCTTCTCAGGAAAAGCCACATGTCACTTGAATTCCCTAGAAGAGTCCAGAAGTTCTCAATTACCTTGCATTTGGGATAGAGAAAGCCCACAAGGGAGGAACAAGCCAATGAATGTGCTACCACTTGGGGGAGACAACCAAGCACTCATCCCTAATTCTCAGAGTGCCAATGGTCTCAAGGGATGACACCATGCCAGCTAAATTCTGAGTCAGCATCGGAGGTGGAGGCTGGGAAGCAGGGTTGTTAGAGTTACTTCCTCAAAAATGAAGTCTTCAGCAATAAAATTAATAAAGGAGAGACCGTCACACACAGCTAAGGAATCTGCCCCATCCTGTGGCCCCTCAGACCTCAGCATGGAACATTCTTCATACTGTTGACCAACACCAAGGACTCATGTTCATGCAAACATTGTCAGTTACACAAACATTTTTTTGTGGAAACATTGAGTACTCTCTGGTCTTGTTTACAGAAGCTCTTCAATATGAAGAAGGCCTAAGTCCTTAATGAGAGCTGAGGGACCAGCTGCCTTTTCTCTTCTTGGGACACACGGCCCTTCCAGAGTCAGTTACAGCTGATCATTTCAACTCTGCCTCACTGCTCCTCACAAAAGCACAAACCCCCATCTATTAGCTTTTTTTCTTCACAACTCTGTGAGGGGAAGGACATGTGTAGGTTAGCTTCTGAAGCCTGGCCTTGCCCCAAGATCTGCACATAGTGGGAGCTAAATCAACTCTCTGATTGATCCCTGACTCCCTAAATAATGCCCTCAAACAGAAGTGCTTAGAAGTTCCACACATGCTTCAGCTGAAGGACCTGAAAAACAATGCAGTATATTTTCCTGTTTTTATCAACAACCTATTTCCCCTTAGCTTCACTCCAAAGGCTGGCCCTGATCAAGAGTATCAGACAAACTCATAGAAGTCCACTGTCTTCATCCATCACAGTGGCTACAGACAGTGAACTCAAAAGCATCAGGCTTGGTAGCAAGCACCTTTATCCACTGAGCCATCTTGCCTACTCCTATTCATTTTTTTTCCTAGAAGAAAAAGACTAATGAATTCATAAGTGTGAGTCACTCATGACCCAATCACCCCCTTCACTAGATCCCACCTCCTGCTACCAAGACCTGGGGTAGACAAATCATATTCAAAGCCAAGTGCTTACCGGTGGCAAATGCAGCCAACCTCTTGGAACTCGGTTTCCTCTTCTATCAACTTCATGAGTCATTTGCTGTGAGAATTGGATAATACATGTGAAAAAGTTAGTTTGGTACCTGAGACATAGTAAGTACTCCCAAAATAATAGATATTATTTATTATTGTGTGGTCCAAACTCTAAACTGAGTACCTTGCCACGCTAGCACATTGAAACTGCTGCATTCCTACAAATTAATCTTACCAGTAGTTAATACAAAAAGGAGTGTCAGTCAGGTCTCTGCCCAACTTAATGCAACCCCAGATTTGAGGAGTCTTAAATTAATTGGCGTTCTTTTCGTGACAACACTGTAATTTAGGATGTAAGTCTTTTCTCCTGAATGGAAGAGGGTGTTCACTGTTTCATCACAGAGAATGATGTCCCCTGTGGCTATGGCAGCTTTAGCAAAGACATATTCTATTATAATAAAATCACAACGGCCAGCCAAAATATTTTGTTACATGAAACTTTGTCTTCAGCAATAAAAATAAATTTTAACTGGGTGGGTTTTTTTAATTATGGCACTTGAGAGATAGAGTGGGGCAGATCTCTATGAATTCAAGGTCAGTCTGATTTACATAGAGCGTTCTAGGCCATCGAAGACACATAGCAGAACTGTCTTAATAAAATACCTTTCCTGTAGATATTGAGTTACAAATTACATTCATGACAAGTAAACATTATTTTCCTCTTATGGTGTGTCATAAGCATCTATTAGGTCTGCCTACACACACTAGGTCTGCCTGCATACACCAGGTCTGCTTGTACTCACAAACCTCCATCTGCTCCCAATAACACAGTATGGTGGGTACTATCATGCCCATTTTATAGGTAAGACACCAAGGTTTGATGAGTCAGTCTGTCACCTCATTCAATTTACTATGTTTTAAAACAGCATACTTGGTACTTCTACCATGTTCACATCTCTGGAATAAAGATATTCTCACTTCAGAAATGCAAGTTTAGCGACCATTGCTTGCCTGACCTATTTTTATTACTTTAGCGATATATCTTATACTTGGTGGCTTCACAAGGTACTAGGATACCCAGTGGAGAACAGTGCTGACATTCACTTCTAAACCACACCATCCCCTACCAATAACCACTCTGCCATGCTATGCCAGATGAATTTCTACTGAATGTCACTATAAATGAAGAAAAATATTAACAAAACTTAGCTGGCTGCACATGAGAGCCAACGAGCAGGAGGGCAGCCTCATCCATGTTTTTCAGGCTCTTGGCTTCTACCACTCAGGATAACAACCAGGGTGGGGCAGAAGGGGTGAGGGAGAAACAGCACTAAAGCTTGGAGGAGATAAAGCATGATATGCAGGCAAGGGTACCCAAATTAAGTCCTCAAAGCAACAGATATTGTGAATCCCTTAACCGATTAAGTTCAATTGGCTCTGCTTAATCCTTGAATGCCTCCATTACATGTGATCTGCAAAGTGGACAGAGGAACCAGTGTGAGCTTTGAAAGAGTTATTGCAAGCAAAGCTGTTAGGGCAGTACCTCTCACACCCCAAATAAGTCTTCAAGAGCTGATATCTATTATTATCACTCACCTCAACCTACACACACACACACACACACACACACACACACACACTCCACAATTATGTTGGTTTTCTTTATCAAGAAGCAAACCTGCAAGACCCGCTACCTCTTGGCAATCTTCCCGCATGCTCCTCCTCCTACCTGTGAAGGACGCATTCATGTTCATGTTTTACCTTTAACTGAACTATCCCCTCTTCAGAAGGCTCTTGCCTGACTCTCCAGAAGAATACCACAATGTCTTCCTAGCACAGGTCTTTGTTCATTTCCTTTTTAGCCCTCATTGTAATTGCCTGTGGTTTTATTCATTCTCGTTGCAGTATTCCCTCTTAGCTAAGGTTATGTGCTGCAGCTTCAGTAATTCACAGCTAACTGGTGTCTGAACATGTTCATTAGAAAACTCCTGAATAATCATGCTATCCTGAACATGATAAAAACCTTTTTCCATGTTATGTGTATCCGTATCATAGTCCTACTGACCCTCAGTCACTTCATAGCCATGTAAGTTATCAACTCAAGCACTGAACTGCCCTAGTGCTTGTGTACAAGGAACCCTTGTTTTGCTTAATAATAGTCCAGAGATGCAAGAATAATGCTACTGGCAACCTAGACATGTCAACAAGAAGCCTTAACATAATCTGTTAAGTGAGAAGGTAGGCACAAAAAATATTTCATGAGAGAATATATTCAAGTACATTGTTATAATTGTTCTGTTTAATTACCGTTATTGATGGTGATTACTTACTGTGTCTAACTTGCAAGTTAAACTTTACCAAAAGTATGTACATTGTGACGGTCTCTCTTTATTTCAGCTTGACTGACTTTGCACTCACCTAGAAGACACTCCCTGAGTGTCTGTGGGGATGCTGTGGCACCATTCCGTGGGCTGGGACGCCAGTAGGAACAGAAAGGAAAAGAGGATGTCAGGTGAGTATCACTCATATCTCTACTTCCTGGCTCAGGACACAATGTGACTAGCTGCCTCATGCTCCAGTCACCAGGCTTTCGCCACCACGATGTACTACATCCCCGCCAACCATCGCTGGAATAAACCCACTGTTTGTTCAGTTGCTTTTGTCATGTATTCTTGTCACAGAAATGAGGCAAGTAGCTAATGCATGTGTTTAGAGAGAAGAATATTGTATGTAGAGTTCAACACTGTTTCCAGGCATCTCATCCTGAATTGTATTTCCCATGAACACCAAAGGAGAGCTGCACCTGCTGACAGCACACTTGCAATATAAAGTGTCTTATTCTTGTGTGCCTATACCTAGCCCAAAGCCTGTCATGATGGATGCTCAATAAAGATTTCTGGAATTGCATTTTCCAAACTCAATAAATGAAAACTTCAAACTCTAAATCCAGGTCAGGTTATAGCCAGAGGCCCCATGTGGAAAGGGGAATGGCTCATCATGCTACTGGTTTTCTCTCCCATGGGAGCCTTGGCCACCTTGCCTCTGACTCAGCTTTCCATCCCTGATAACCATTCCCACTGGTTTCCAAGCACACATGGCTAAAGGTGGAATTCGATTGTCATGCTCACATATCTGATGACCTGTGTTGGTGTCCGACACAGGAAATAGGAGCCTTCTTGCATCCATTCACCTGGAAAGCAATGAGAGCCTTACCTTGCTCCCAGTACCTGTGCTGTTTAGGGAGTAAGTCTTGCTTAACGCGTTACTCCATCACTTCCTGAATCAAATATTTTCAAACTGGATGCCTATAGGATATGGTGAATTCAGATCAACTTGGGGAAGAGTATATGGTGAACAAGTTCCTTGTCTAAAATCACTCAAAGATGTAGATCTTAGAAATACACTTCTGGCATCCCACCCACCCGAGGGTCTGAGTCAATAGACATTTTATCGTAAAAGTATTTGTTCAGACTGTCTTGTATAGCTGGCTAGGGGCCATCACAAGCAGCTATACACACATTATTTGGCTTAATCCAATTAGTAAACCTATGAGTGGGCAATCCTATCCTTATGAATGAAGACACTGGGGAATCAGTAGACCTTTCCTAAGGTCTTATGAATGGATCTTAGGACCAAAGCTCTGCTACTTTCAGTGCAATGCAGCCTCTCGGCCCTACCTCAGATATCCTAAGCCTGCATCTGCTTTGCAACAAGACCTCCGCTGACTGAAGGACACATTCAAGTGTGAGAGCCCTACCCTATCCAATGGACACTGGTCTATCATTCTTTCTTTTCTCTTACTCAGTGGGACCTAAATGTGAGTTCTCATAGGAATAGGCTGACACCTCCTATTTAGGCAGATATCTGGACTTTGCTTTCAAGGCTTTGATTAAGTGAGGCTGGCTGAAGACTCTATAATCTGTACTTTTAACCTATAGTCTAGGGCAATAGTTCTCAACCTTCCTAATGCTGTGATCCTTTAATACAGTTCCTCATGTTGTGGTGACTCCACCCATAAATTATTTTCTTTGCTACTTCATAACTGTAATTTTGCTGTAATTATGAATAGTAATGTAAATATATGTGTTTTCTGATAGTCTTAGGTGACCCCATATGTGTTGTCTGATGGTCTTAGGTGACCCCTGTGAATGGGCTATTTGACCCACAGGTTGAGAACCATTGATATAGAGGGTCTGTCCATCACACTTTAAGAAACCCAATGTAGTGAGTAAATTGGTTTCACTTCCCTTATTGTTGAGAATAAAATGGGATATTTTAAAGATGAACTTCTAGGGCTGTGGAGGTAATACCTGTCTAGTGTGCTTGAGCACTGTGAAATAGAGTAGAAAATGCCACAGTAAAACCCATTCCTTTGTGTGGTTGGGTGGTTTGGATTAGAAATGTTTCCCATAGGCTCATATATTTGGACATTTTGTCCCTAGTTGGTAATGCTATTCAGAAACTTTAGGTAGCCTTGCTGAAGGAAGGACACTTCTGAAGGTTCGTAGCCTTGCTTCCAGCTCTCTCTCTGCTTCCTGTGTGTAGATGGAAATATGATGAACTAGCTTCCTCTTCCTGCTACCATGCCATGCCTTCCTGGCCATTACATACCTTCCATCTGGAATATTAAACCAAAATAAACTCTGTCTTCCTCAAGTTGCTTTTGGTCATAGTATTTTATCCTAACAACAGAAAAATGACTAGTCTGGAAGTGAACCACAAGATTGAAAGTGTAATAAATGTTTCCAGCTTATAAAGATGCTTTGTGTGTTTGTGATGGACAGGGAGGAGAGACCCCTTGAAACAGTGAAACTTGATGTTGGAACATTGTTAGAGGTCAAGAGGTCAAAGCCCTTCCTTTGACCTATGAGGAAAGGGAGCGGCAGTAGTGTTCATGGTTCATGGTGGCAGATCTAGACCAGAATCCAGATTCGTGATGGCTTCCACTGAAACACAGACTGCTCAGTAGGGAGCTTAGCAGCAACAGCTCAACTGACCACTAGACAGTTCTGTACATTCCTTGCTCATTTAAACCTACAGGAGTCTGTCAGGTAAGCGCTACCTGAGTAAACCAATGGCCAAGGTAGTAAATAAACCTTCTTGTCTGCTACAGCGGTGGAGCCTGGGGTGGGACCCGGGCTGACTGCTTTAAAGATTTATTTCTGCAGGTTCCTCGGAAAGCAAAGAATGAATGGGAAAGATGAATGCATTAAGTACCAAATGACTGCACCTTATTTCCCAGTATCCTACATTCCCCTCCCCCGCATGTCTGCCTCCAGTGTGGAAAATGTACCGGCGCTGACACACAAGCTGTTAGCGTGTAATGAAGGACATGGCGACCGGCATTGAACTGCCCCAGGGGTACACTCAAATTCTACTCATTAGCTGTATAACCTGGGGGGAAAGTCACAGAATCTCCTTAAGCCTTAGTTGTCTGGTTTTGTTTGTTTGTTTGTTTTGTTTTTGTTTTTGTTTTTTTTTGTATGTATGTAAAAGAGAAGAAATAACAGTGGGCATCTCCTAGGGCTTGGGGAATGAAAATAAGATAATGTCATTCAAGACCATTACTATTTTAAGCACTGACACATATTTTTAAGCCATATTTGGTTTTTAAATGAATTTGAAGTTGTTTTAATAGTTTTGAAACCCCCTGAGGGCAAGGAGCTATTCCATGAACTTCCTTATCGCCAGAGCCTCCAACTGGGTGGACTAGAGTCCTTGAGCACTGATAGGAATCAGCCCCCAGTCGGGCAGTTACTATGTTTGCATACCAAGGGAGGAAAGAATCTTCTTCAAGGCATACTTTCACTGACCCAGCCCACACCCCATTTCTCTTTTTGTAGAGAAAAGGCGACCGTATGCAGAGAAGCTTCTAGCAGCTGCAGTAGATGAACTTTGCTTTAGAGAAAAGTGACCTTGGAAAATAATTGCACTGGTGTCTCTGACAGACTCCCCCATCCTGATTTGTGACCCTGGGCAAATCATTTCATCTCTCTGTGTCTCTGTTTCTTTCCCCTATAAAATAAAGAGGCTACCTGACCAGATCTCCAAGGGTTCATGTCAGTATTAACTTCCTAATTCCATTTGGCTTTCAAATTCTTTCCTGACCACTCTCAGGCTTCCCTGTATGAAACAAGAGATGCATACAAATTATTAAATATTGTGGCATCTGTAAAACAATTTGAGTGTGTGTGTGTGTGTGTTGTGTGTGTGTGTGTGTGTGTGTGTGTGTGTTTGTGTATGTGTGTTTTCCCATTTGGGTGTCTACACAGATAACCTTTACAATTGTTGGAGGGGAGCCTATTGCTCTGATGTAAAAACTGGGAAAACAGAGCTCAGAGAGATTAACATGCCCAATAGCTGTTAAGCTATTAGGTGACACTATATGTGCATATGATCTGGAGTATATTACTAGTTTAATATAAATCAAAACAGTAGATAATGTGTATAAAAATCACAGTTTAACAAAGAAAAGGCAACTTGTGAATGCAATTTGCACACTCATGTGACACATTTTCTGTATCTTATATATCTGCATCTTCAACAATATGTCTCTACAGAAAGAAAAGGCACACATCCTTAACAGTTGTTTTGGTAGAGAGAAGGAATTGAGTAGAGTTAGCAAGGCCATCTTTTCATATTTTTTGTTTTAGAAAACATTCCCTATGAGCCCAAAGTCAAACAAAACAGAATGTAATAGTAAATGAATAAACACTCACTGATGTCACTGTTGAGAGAGAAATCACTCAAAGTACACACCACAGCTATTTGACTATGCATTCCTGCTGAGACACACCCTAAGGAACAGACAAGAATTGAGAAAGCAAACTGATTTTAGTGACTCCATTGGTGACACTGGGCTGACTGCATACAGCATTGAAAACATGAGTAATTTTGTGGCTGTCACTAGAAAGCAGGACATTCAGCATAGGGGGAAGTATAGACACAATATAGATGATCATATCTAAAAACACTGTAGTGCTGAACAGGCATAAAAGCTATCTGTAGGATGCATATCACTATGATACACATTCCCTAGCTCTTTGCCTTCAGAGGGGAGACCTGGAAACAGCAATCCAGGAACACTGAGCACTCCCTGTGCCGAGATTGGAATCTCTAATGCCATTTCTCAGTGAGTGAAGCCAAGGCTCCTTGGAGAGATGACCAATTTCATGTCTCAGGCGGGAAATGGACAAGATGAGCCTGGAGTGTTTGTCATCCCAGAAGGCAAAGAAGCTATCAGAGATGAGGAGGGTCATGTTAAAGGGATTCTGGGGGGCAATTCCAAGAGGTTCTCATTGGCCAAGGGTGGAACAATTTGAAAATAATGTCAAATGTTTTAACCTGTGATTTTTTTAAAATATAATTTATTTTATCTGTATGAGTGCTTTGCTCACATATATGTCTGCATTATGCGTATACCTGGTGCCTGTGAGATCAAAAGAGGGTGTTGAGTTCCCTGGAACTGGAGTTGTGGATGGCTGTGAGCTGGGAATTGAAACTGGGCCCTCCTGCCAGAATAACAAGTGCTCTTAAACACAGAGCCATCTCTCCAGTACTGATATATTTTAAAACAATTGTTAGGCATCTCAAATTGCTATAGAAAAAACCAACATTACACACACACACACATACTCACACATATATTTATGTATGTGTATGTGTGTTTGTATATGTATGTATATGTATATTCACCCACATGTGCATAAAGGCGATTACAGAGGTCAAAAGAGGGCATCTGATCCTCTGGTGCTGGAGTTACAGGCAGTGTGAGCTGTCTTATGAGTGTACCACAAACTGAACTCAGGTTCCCTGCAAGAGCAATACACACTCTTAACCACTGAGTCGTGTCACCAACCAGAACCAACCATCATTTACAAAATGGTTAAATAAAGGGGGGATAAACCCTTAACCACTAATCACACTTATCTTTAAGAACTGTGTCTTGGCATGGCTGACTGGTTGACAACAGATGTTTCCCTGTATAGATGAATTCTAGTTACAACAGTCAAAACCAGTGATTATAGAAACTGCCCAGCACCAACCTTCAGCCGCTAATGAATGAATGTGTCTAAGCAGTGGTCAATGACTGCTCAGAGACAATCAGACACGGCCTACCTCTTGATCAGAAAACACAGTAGAACAAACAAAATGGGTTTGCCTAAAAGGGCTCATCATAAATGCAATAAAAATTCAATGTCCAAGTTACAGAAGAGTCAGGGGACGGGGATTCTGTTAAATACCACCACAGATGTGTTGTCAGCAAATCTATGGGGAAGGAAAACTTTAGCAGGAACCGTGTAGCTTTGTCCACAAAATAATGGCAAGAGAATTTTAAGGGAGGTGGGGGCTGAAGAGACGGCAGGTAAAAGCTCTTGCCTCAGCCCTGAGGATCTATCTGAGTTGGACTCCTGGCTGCCAGCGTGCAGTTGTGCACATCTGTATGCACCTCTGTGACACAATAGGAGCTGGAGGCAGGAGAACCTGCAGGAAGCTCAAGGACCAGCTAGCCTGGAGTATGCTGTGCAGGAAACAAAGGAGAGCCTGACTCCGGGTAGAAAGCAAGAACGACTTCTGAAAGTTGTTCTCTGATCACCATATGCGTAAGGTGGCATTCACACACACACACACACACACACACACACACACACACTCAGACACAGACACACACACACACAGAGGCACCCCTTAACTGACTAGTTAACTAATTAATTAAACCTTACTTTTTTTTTCAGTTTAAATTTAGATAAGAAACAAGGTTGCTTCACAAGTCAGTTCCAGGTCCCTCTCCCTTTCCCTCCCCTCCTCCTGTGCCCTCCCCACAACCCCCCCCCATTCCCATTATCCCCTCATTTCCCCAGGGAGGGTGAGGCCCTCCATGGGGGTGTCCATAGTGTGTCATTTCATATAGGGCAGGGCCTAGACCCTTCCCCAAGAGTTCAGGGTGAGAGTGCCCCTCACATTGTTGGATGGGAGTCCAAAGTCCGTGTGTATACTCCGGATGGGTACTGATCTGCTGCCCAAGGCTCAATAGATTACCTAGGCCTCCTCACTGACACCCACATTCAGGGGGTCTTGATCAGTCCCATGCTGGATTCCCAGGCTGATGCCTGGGATTCAAGAGTTAACCTTTGTCAGGTCAGCTGTTTCTGGGGGTTAAACCAGCCCAGTCTTAATCCTTTTGGTCATCAGTCCTCCCTCTCTGTTACTGGCTTTCTTGAGTTCAGCTCAGTACTTAGCCGTGGGAGTCTGCCTCTTCTTCCATCAGCCACTGAAAGAAGGTTCTGTTTCCCAGACTCTCTGGCCATGGGATTGTAGACTGGCACTCCCGAAATCTATGTCTAAAATCCATATATGAGAGAGTACATGCCATGTTTCTCTTTTTGTGACTGGGTTACCTCACTCAGGATGGTTTCTTCTAGTGTCATCCATTTGCCTGCGAATCTCAGGATTCCATCCTGCTCTGGCTCCTGTGGAGAAGTCTCCTGCCAAGAAAAAGACGACAAAAAAGGCTGGCACAACGAAGCATAAGGCCACCGGTCCCCCGGTGTCCGAGCTCATAACTAAGGCTGTGTCTGCCTCCAAGGAGCGCAGTGGCGTGTCCCTGGCCGCACTCAAGAAGGCTTTGGCTGCAGGTGGCTACAATGTGGAGAAGAACAACAGCCACATCAAGCTGGGGCTCAAGAGCCTGATGAGCAAGGGCACTCTGGTGCAGACCAAGGGCACCGACGCCTCCGGCTCCTTCAAGCTCAACAAGAAGGTGGCTTCTGGCGAGGCCAAGCCCAAAGCCAAGAAAACCTTACTTTTAAAAAGAGATAACAGAAAAGGGAATCTAAAGACCTAAGGAGGTACAGAGTCTATGAAAAGGCATGACTTACCTCAGATCTGATTCATATGAACAAAAAAAAATCAGGTAAAAGTAACAACATCCTTTCTACAAGATAGCTGAGGAAAATAGCATACATACCCATTCGTCATTTGATGGTATCAAATAATCATTGACTATAATACTCCCTAATTACAACTAAAAGCAGGTATCAGTACATAATGGGGATACATTCTGAGAAACACAGCATTAGTAAATTCCATTACTATGCGAACAGCAGAGATACGCTTAGCAAACAACATGAGTCATTTGACGTAGCTGCTGCCGCTGCTTTTGTTTTTTGTTTTTTTTTCTTGGTTTTGTTTTACAAGCCTGGGTTTTTCTATGTAACTGGTTATCCTGGAACTCTCTCTGTCGACCGTGCTGACCTCTAACTCAGCCTGCTTCTGCCTCCCAAGGGATGGAATTAAAGGTGTGCACTGCCACACCCAGTGTTTGACAAAGCTTCTTTTTTTTTTATTTTCCAGTTTAAATTTAGATAAGAAACGAGGTTGCTTCACAAGTCAGTTCCAGGTCCCTCTCCCATTCCCTCCCCTCCTCCCGTGCCCTCCCCCCAACCCCCCCCCCCGTTATCCCCCTCATTCCCCCAGGGAGGGTGAGGCCCTCCATGGGGGTTTGACAAAGCTTCTTAAGTCAATCAAAGCACACAGTGAATGATATATAAGGGACTATGGCAGTATAATGTGGCACTGTTTTTTATGTTTTATGTTAAAACCCATGCAGCATATTATATATATATGTATATATGTAAAGTAGTAATTAAAAGGTATAGTATAGTAAATACATAAGCTATCAACATAGTCATTTATTATTAACATCAAGCATTATGATCTGTGCTGTTCAATTATATCCACAAAGATGACTATCTGTCCTTGTTTCATTCTGTTGATACAATAAAAACACTCTAATAAAAGCAGCATAGGGGAGGAAAGGGTTTATTTCAGTTCACTGTGAGAAATCTGTCATTGACAGAAGTCAACATAGGAGCTCAAGGTCCAAACCCCGAGGCAGGAGCCACGGAGAAGCACTGATTGCTGCCTTGTTCACAAGCTCATACTCAGCTCACTTTCTTATACCTCTGAGAACTACCTGCCCAGGTCCAGAACCATTTGCAGTGGGCTGAGTCTTCCTGCATCAAGTAATAGTCAAGACCATCTCCCCCAGACATACACACAAGCCATTGTGACCTGGGCAATTCCTCAATGGAGGGTCTTCTCTAAGATGACTGTAGGCTGAGTCAAGCTGACAATTGAGGCTAGCTAGGTAGAACACTGTCCTTTTTATTAGCAGCAAAGCAACAGGCTTATCTACTCCAGCATCACCACAGACCCATGAGCGGTGTGACATGAGGAAGGGCACTGTGACAGTTAGTTTAACTGTCAATTTGACACAAACTGGAATCATCTGGGGAGAGTCTCAGTGAGGGGTTGTCTAGCTCAGCTTCGCCCATGCTTTTGTCTGCAGTGGGGACTGTCTTGATTACACTACTTGGCTCTGGAAGAAGACCTATGTTTAAATGTGACCCAGAACCATTTCATGGCCTGGGCCCTGGAATGAATGAAAAGGAGCAGATGGGCTGAGCATTAGCATGTATGCATTAATCATCCTCCCCTGCTTCTTGCCTTTGGATGCAATATGCCTATCTGCATCCCACTCCTGCCCACTGAGACTTCTCTGCACTGACTGACCTGGAACTGTGAACTGAAATAAACCCTTTCTTCCCTAAGCACTTTTGCCGGGGTATCTTATCAGAACACCAAGTAGATAGGACACCATTAGGCAACAGCTCCCTTATAATTCTAAGAAAGCTCTAACACATATGTCATTCCCCACGGTCATATTTGCAATCATTACCACTTTAAGTATGATGATGGCTTTATTTTTTAAGGGCCCCTGCCTTATAAAGAACATTCAGTCTGAAATATATACACATATATATTTTCCTCATGATACTTTAGGGGACAGAGATACTTTAGGGGTTATAGATGAAAAACATTTGGCTGTGAAATGATAACTGTTGAGATGACGGTGGGGTCTATTACGTGGTTTCCTGTAGCTGGAGTTTCTTTCCAGCCTGGTCCCTCAGCTGACTAGACCCAAATAAACACACAAAGACTTATATTAATTTATAAACTGTTGGTCAATGGGTAGGGCTCTTTACTGGCTAGCCCTCTCTTAATTAACCCATAGCTACTAGTCTATGTATTTCGACATGACCTTATCTTACTAGAGAATGCTGGCGTGTCCTGTCTTCCTGGTCTCTACATGGTGTCCCTTCGCTGCTCCCTCCGTGCTTCCTCTACTTAGCCTTCCTCTCCTCTGGTAGCCCCTCCTATCTCCTGCCTGGTTATTGGACAACCAGTGTTATATTCATCAACCAACAAGAGAAACATATATACAGAAGAACATCCCCCATCAGTTTCCCTTCTGAGTAAGTTAAAAATGTAAAATCCAGGATTTCAAGATGTCTTAGTGGATAAAGCCACCAAGCCTGATGACCGAAGTTAAGGACCCACATGTTGGAAGAGAGAACTAACTCCTACAAGCTGTCCTCCAGCCTCCATACACACTTCATGGTACAAAAATACACAAAGTAAGCATACAACTAAGCAAATAATTTTGAAGAACTGTTTAAAACTATAAAGCTAAGTCTCCACCATTGCCATTGATGGGTAATTCTAAATGCATGGTCTTTATTTTTGTGGCCCCTGTGTCCAGGCAATGGACAGTGATTCATGCACCACCCTGGGACACCAGAGGCTTAAGTCAAAAACTCCTGCTTTTCTCCTCTCTGTACTGTTAGAAACATCAATCTTCAGAGCCGGGTCTTACTCCTCCCCAGGGTAACAACACAGAATGAGAGAGGCCTGAGAACAGGTGCCAAAATTATATTCTCAGCAGCAGAAATCAATGATCCTCCACTGCAGAGCCCAAGGTGGGAAGGGAGCCCTTGACACCCACCCCAAATTGCGCAGAAGTGAGTGAGCCTTCTGCCTCCCTTCTTTATCTCCTTCACAGGGAAAGCTGCATCCCAGTCCTGGCTCCCTGGAAGTGCTATGGGCTCCTGGAGTGGCAGATGAGGAACTGGTTACCCTCTCAGGGCCCCTTCTTTTCCAGGGTCTTCTGCAACATCTTTCTCTAACATCAATCACTGGCACAGTCTGTGGGACAGCATCTACTGATCTTCCTCTTCCATTTTTTTCTTTGCTTCTCCACCCACCACCTTCTGCTGCAAGCCATTCCATCCTCCACATTGTGGTCAGCATGACCTTCTCAAAGCCCAGGCCTTACTAAATCAACTTGCCTTGGCTTACAACCTATTCCTCCAAGACTGAACACCCAAAGTGTCAACCCAGCTTTAAAGGCATGTCTGTTGATTCTTCCTGACTGCACCTCACACCATAACCTGCTTTCTAGGCTCACTAGCATCAGGGAATAGAGAATGACAAAAATGTTACATATGCTTGTTTGGTCATTCATTCATTAGATCTCCAAATAAGAGTTGAGAATCTGCCATTACAGCATGGATACATAAACTGAGATAGCTTCAATATTCTTCAAATCTTGGCTTGGATTTTACTTTGCTGGGTATTTTCTGGCATTCTTGATTACACATTTTCCCTCTGTTGTTTTTAAAAGGTGTGTGTGTGTGTGTGTGTGTGTGTGTGTGTGTGTGTGTGTGTGTGTGTGTGTTGAGTTTTAGGGAGGAATCCAGAAAAATGGCGAAAGGATGTAAGCATTGTTAATGGAGGAGATAGCAACACTGATCCAGTGTTTTGACAAACCAATGGTTCTCAAAGTGTGGACCCAAGAGGAACACTAGGAACCTGCAAACTCTGACACCCCAAAGCCACCAAATCTGGCACCTTGAGATGGAACCCATGCTTTTCCAGGTAATGAAGGTGTCTGCTAAAGTTCAAGAGCCTTTGTTACAACTGAGTATTCCCATGATGAATGATCATTGAGGGTTAAAACTAGAGTTCTTTTGGAACTGGCAAGCTGTCCTATGGCCACAGACTTTGTCACTGGCCTTCAGGACATAGAAGATCAGTCTAAAGTGGCTTTCTCTTGCCCAGAATCACCCTGATAAACCAACCCTCTTGTCTGCACAGTGCACAGGCTAACACTGAAGCTTGGAGAATAAGCCACACACTGTAAAGTCCAAAGACTGTTCTATAAGGTAGTTAGCAAGTTGGGGAAACCTTAGGAATCATGGAAATGTCATAAAACCCTTCACCCTGAGATCTGCTTTGCATTACAAGGTAGCTATGAATCAAAAATATCAACATGGCTGACAAAGTCAAAGGTATCAAAAGATACTATAGTCTTTGTCCCAAGAGATATCTCGAGAAGGCTGCTGAGAGTAGACAGTGGACTGTGCTTCTCAGAGCCAGAGGGTTTGTGGCCTTGGTGTTTAACATAACTGCCACCCTCCTCTCTCATCCCTAAACCTGAATAATGAACGTCATAAAACTCCTTAAAATCTTATTTCTAAAAAGTAAATTCTGTAGGATACCAAAAAACCCGAGTTATTCAGCTTTTTTCCCCTTTGTCCTTAGTGTTAGAACTTGGACTAATCCTTGAACCTGGTTGTAAATTATAGTCTTTAAGATCGGAAACTTCCAAAGCCACAAAAATCATATATAAAGCTATCATTCAGACACTGAGGTGTGTGTGACTCTCTCCCTCCCTCCTTCCCTCCCTCCCTCCCTCCCTCCCTCCCTCCCTCTCTCTCTCTCTCTCTCTTCTCTCCCTCCCTCTCTCTATCTTCTCTCTCTTCCCTCCCTCTCTCTCCCTCTCTCTCTCTCTCTCTCCCTCTCTCTCTAGAAGCCTGCACTATGCCTTGTATATATCTTCACAGTGCTGACCTTTGCCTGAGGGGTCTTCAATCTCTTCCCCTTTTCTCTCTCCTATAGCTCTTTCTCTCTCTGGCCCTTGCATAAGTCTCAAGTGTTGTCTACCTCATTTCTACACAATAAACTCACTAACTTTCGCCGACTTGTCCAGAAATTCTTTTCTGTAACATCATCAAAGTCCCCCATCCCCTACCCTACGACTTAACTGAGTGGAACTCCTCAGGTTGCTGGTGGTAGTGTGGGGATGCATCTGACACTCAATAGGGTTGGTTCTGTCTTCACAAATTGACATTTATTGTTATTTAGTGTACTTGGTTTATTATTGCTTTTTTGATAGGGTCTTGTGCTGCTCTGGTTGGCTTACACTCTCTTTGTAGCCCATGATGATCCTGAACTTGCGATCCTCCTGTCTCTGACTCCTGAGTGCTGGGTTTACAGATATGCACTACTATCCCTGGCACAAGCTGACATTTGAAAACCTTGTTTGCCCTCAGTTAACGAATGTCATGTTTGCCACTTGCCTAACTGACTGCAATCTCTCAGAAATCTTACCCAGAACTAGGCAGTCATTGGGATGCTGGGGAGAAAACATTCTAGGATTTCAAGGTTTCTCAGGTCCCACTTATCCTTATCCACTATGTTAACTGGCCAGAGGTCAATGTTGAGCATCTTATTTGCTGTCCTCCAACAGAGAAGAAGGATGAATTAGAATATTCGAGTAGGGATCATGTAGAGACTCAGCAAGAACATGGCCACCTACCAACTAAATCCAGGAGACCTTTGAAGAAAACTTGACCTCACACTTCCAGACTCCAGAACAGAACATTGATCTGATGCTTAGCCACCCAATCTGTGGCAGATTATTATGGCAACTCAAGGAAATGAAGGCTAGCATGCAGAACAATGCAGGATGGCTTCCCAGGCTGGGTTTAAGGAAGGTGCAATGGCTTCCACCTGGCCCTCTCACTCAAGGGCACACCCTGGGACCCAGGACATCATGAACAAATCAGAGCTGTGGAGAGGGTGGGTGTCCTGGCCACAGCCCCAGTGAAGGCCCCAGCTGACAGCCAGATATAATTGTGAGGTGGGTGAGTGAGCAAAACAGGAGCAGTTCCAGCCCAGGCGCTCCAGCTGAGAGACGTGCTGTTCCTGCCCAATCCTGGCCAAATTGCCAATTCGTGAGCAAAATAAATGTTGCTGTTTTGAGCCAGTTACTCTTGGGGCATTTTTTTAGAAGCAGCAGTAGATAAAAGGAGTATTTGTCTTGAGGTATCAATAGCTTCTTTTGCTTCCCAAAACTTAAGGAGTATTTCCTCACCCACATTTAGAAAGATCTATTAAAATCCTTCATCAGTTGCGTTACGTTGGTCCCCCCTTTCCAGGGGACAAGAGTAAGGAAGCGTGGTTTATACGAATCAACTTTTGCACTAATTCATACCAACAGTAATATGTGCATTGGCCATGATTTTATTTTAAGTGGAGGGTGAATGCTGTATAAGGAAGCAGTTCGGTATGTTTTCTTATAAATGGTGAGGAATGTGCGCAGGGATGGCATGCTTCGATTTCCAGTGCTGTGACAAAATGCCGGAGAGAAATCAGTTACGGGGAGGAAAGGCTTATTTGGTTGACAGAATCTACGGACTCTCCCATGTTTTGTGCTTATGACAGCATAGCACACGGTGGCAGGAATGTCCTTAGAGGAGGTCTATCCACTCACTTCAGGTAGTAATAAGGGAGGGGAAGGGACCAGGGACCAATACGCCCTTCAAAAGTGTGTTCTGTGACCTGATTTCCTCCAGTCAGTCACACACACCCCTTTAAAAGGTCCACAATCTCATAAAATGTCAGAGGGAACTGTGACCAAATCACAGCATCTTTAGGCTATCTCTGTTCATTCTTAAAGCTGGTGAGGAGTTGACAATCAGGTTTCCTTTCTGTTGCTGTGATAGAACACTCTAATCAAAGGCAACTTAGAGGAAGATCCAGTTTATTTCAGTTTACACTTAAAGGTCATGGGTCAACATTGAAGGAAGTCAGGGCAGGAACTCAATGCAGGAGCTGTAGAGGAGCGACGCTTGCTGACTCACTCAGAGACTCAGACTCCCAGGATCATCTTCCCAGGGAATGGCACTGCTCACAGTGGCCTGGGTCTTTCTACATCAATTAACAATAAGGATATCCTGCACCAAGAGATATGACCAAAGCAAATCGTATGTAAGTAATCCCTCAAGTGAGGCCATCCTGTCAGATGAGTGTAGGCTGTACCAAGTTGACAGATAAATCCAACTAAGATATTTTGCATTCAATATTCTGCCCCATATCCCAAGACAAATATAATCACTCCCATGACAAATAATTCTGATATTATCAAAAGTGAAAATTTGGGGTAGAAAGAGAATTTCACCACCTGCTTAACAAAGAGAATCTTTGAAGTCTACCCTAGACATTGTTACTTTCTTTGTTTCCTTTTTGCATGTCTGTGCATATGTGTGTGTTCTCATATGTGTGTATGCATGCATGTACAGGTACAGTTGTACATGTGTGCACAAGTACACAGAGGCTACAAGAGGCTGAGATGGGGAGTCTCCCTTGATCACTCTACAGCTTACACATCTAGACAGGGTTTCTCACTTGAAACCAGAACTCGTTTATGTGGCTAGTCTAGCTAGAAAGCTCTCTCCAGGGATCCTTTGTCACCTTCTAAGTGCTGGAGTTAGACAAGCAATGGCAGCATCACCATCAGGCTTTTATGTCGGTCTGACAATCTAAGGCAGTGAGGAATTTACCCTCTGAGCCATTTCCCCAGTCCACCATCTTTCTTTTTGCTGTTGCTCTTTTAATATTTTGAGGAAAGATCTCCTGCAACCCAGGCTTCCCTTGAACTCCAGATCCTCTTGTCTTCACCTACCAAGTGCTGTGTTATCAGTATGGACCACTGTGTCCTGCAACTATTCATTCATTTACCCCCTCCCCCCATCCTACTCTATTTTCTTTTTATTTCTGCCAGGGCCTCAATAAGTTCTCCAAGTTGACCTTATATGAACTCATTCTGAAGCTCAACCAGCCCTTGATCCTGCAATCCTCCTGCCTCAGCTTCTGGGATTCCAGTCTGGCGCCACCAGTCTTGGTGACATCACTATTTTCTCTTTCTAGTCTTGTTACAATTACTCACTCACCCACGTGGTCCTTCTTGTCTTGTCTCCACCATTGTTGAGATCTTGTTTCCACCCTTCCAAGGGTAAAGCTCCCCGCCTTTCAGTTCACAGATGACACTGGCACAACACAGCGATCTCCTGGCAACCATCTGGGAACAGCTTCTTTCTAAAGTCTGCCTCACGGGCGCCGAGCTCCCCACCCTGCTCTCAGCCCCATTTTGATGTTCTTGCTCATGTTACTTGTTTCTGTTTCTTTTCCTTGGAGCTCATGGAACTGGCAAGAGCAGCACTGTTTTCTCTCCTCTTTGCTCCCCTGAAGAATGCAGGCAAGGCAACCCTCCTCCAGAGTCCCCAGTGCCAAAGTCAACAGTGGGGCAGAGAACCTGGAGCCGGTTGTCCTGCACGTGGCATCCCGGTCTTACTGTGACAATGTCCTCATGTCTACAAAGCCCCCAAATATAGGATGCTGAGGCAGGCACCAGAGGGACATTCACAGTATGCCAGCCGTCACTCACATTGCCACACAGAAGGTGTGAGTCCAGACCTTCACCTCCGGGGTGGATAACCTACAGTGATTGATCCAACAGGTGGTGGGTGGTAGTTGTCAGGCAGAGTAGGCCAACAGGAGAGTGAGAAGACATGAGAAGGGAAGTAAATACTTCATCCTAGGGTGCCTCTTGCTTATTTTGTTTACTAGGAGTCAAGAAACTTCCCACCATCCAGATAGCACAGCAAGAGGTAGCTGAGCTCACCCCCCAGAACCACTAAGGGAAATGTAGAGAACTGACCCTGGAAAGCTGTCCTCTGATCTCCCTGTTTGCTGTGGCATGTGCACTCCCATGCCCATGCACACCCTCCCACTCACCTCCCCACCACACACACACACACACACACACAAGCCCACTCAACGTTTTTAAATTCAACACAACCCATAAAGTCAAATTGCCTACAGAAACAATGTGTGTTTTCCCAAAGGCATCTCAAATAACTAATAATAAATAAATATTTACCTATGGTCAGAATGTTTGTAACCTTGTGTTTCACCACATTAGCATTTCTTTTGTTCCTAAAGCTAAACAAACAGTAAACTACAGAAAACCACTTTACAATTTCATCTACAAAAGAGAAGTCTTCAAAAAAATAAGTCAACACATATTTTTGACATTTAAATCTTCCTTTGGTTTCAAGCTTCTCTTCATCTCTCATCCTTGTTGCATATTTCATCCATCAAGGAATGCAGCTTGGCAAACTGCAGAATCATATACAATGTGGACACCTGAGCACCCTCTCTCCAGGAGCACAAACTTACATCTTAGGTTGTGTGTGGTCCTTTTCCTGTATTACTCCATCTGAATACTTGAAAAATTCACCAACTTTGCTTTACTCTGGCTCATTCTGAAAATCTTTTCGGATGTGTCAGCAAGGATCCAGCTTCATCCAGTACCATCTGAGTGAAGGTATTTAAGGGATAAGGGAACTTCTCAGGCTGCTGGGCTGTCTTCCTGTCATTGCTGACATCTTGAGAAAGGAAACTTTTCCCCAGAGAGGCACAGAAATGGAACAGTTCTACCAGGAACTCACAGCTCGCATCTTAACTTGTGACAGGCATCATGCCAAGGGCTTTGAATACCTCAATTAATATTCAGAATAACCCAATGAGCAGATGCCACCGTTCCTGCCATTTTTCAGGTAACACAATTGAAGCTCACAGGAAGCCAAGTGACATAAACGGGACTTAAGAGAAGATGAGGTCTATCTTCTCATTATCTCTTACAAGGCACTGAAGCATCCACAAGAATCTCATCTCAGTCTCCTCAGCACCCAACGAATGCTTAGCTTCTATGGTACTTGCTGCCTGCTCATCCTTTAAGGCAGGGTCTCTCTTTTATTGCACACATGGGTGCAGTGAATAAGGCATGCTCATTATCCCTATGAACTCTACCCACTGCAATGGACCTGAAAGGTGGGAGGAGAGCAACAAGCTCAACGAGATGGGAGGCCACTAAGTGTGCAAGGACGGACAATTGCAGAGGTCTGTGTGTCTGCCATGTATGGTAGGCACGTTGACTGCGTTTTGCAGTTGGGCTTTGGTTTCATTTTATTGTATATGTTTGTTTGTTGGCAGGACCACACGTGATGTCAGAAGACTACTTGCATGAGTCGTTCTCTCCTTCTATCATGTGGGTTTTGGGATTGAACTCAGGTCATCAAGCTTGGCAGCAAGAGACTTTACCTACTGAGCCCTCTCATTGACCCTTAATTTTGGTTTTCAAGATAGGGTATCAGCTATACAATCCAGGCAGGTCTCAAATCTATAATCACCTAGTCGCAAGCTCCATAGAGAGGGAATTAAGCTCTGTACACTATGCCAGACTAGCTGGGGTCTCCAGTGTTTAGATCCCACTCCTCTGTTTAATGTACCAACTACAAGTGGTCTGAGATTCCTTCTCCTCTGTACTGATCGCACACTGATGAGACGTTCAGTCCACACTACTTTTTAAAAGAATGTGTACTTTTTTTAAAGATGCACACTGTGTTTGTATTTGTGTGAGTATCTGTGCAGATATGTAAAGATGAGTGCAAACTACCTTCACAGGCTAAAAAAAAAAGGCATCTAATTATCTGTATCTGCAGTTGGAGGTGCTTGTGAGCTGCTCAACATGGATACTACAAACCAAACCCAGGACGAGCAATACCCACTCTTAACTGCTAAGCCATCCCTCCGCCCCCCTTTATCCTTTGCTTTAGTGTTCACAGCTCTCTCCAAATCCCTGCATGTCCCTTTTTGTCATCCTCAGACATTGACAATTTGCTTGTCCTGAGTTGCACCAAGCTGAACAAACATTCTACCACACTTAGTGCACAACTCCAAATTGGTCTTCCTAATGAGGATGCTAGGTCCTGTGTCCTGTGCCAAGGAGGAGCCAAGCACCCTTTGCATGACCCCCAGAAGTATGATAGCACCCTTACTGTGACTGTGTGCATGTCACAATTACCCCAACCCCCTGGAGACTCCCCTTTTGCAAGGTCACCACACATTTGCCAGTACTGACTTCCAACATCTTTGCCAAGTGAAAACGGGATTATTTTTTCATTTGCATTGCAAAATAAGTCCTTTGCACCACAAAACACAAAATACACTCAAGTCCAACTTACACTGCCAGAATGCACAACACAGTTGATCTGCATGATAATGTTTAGGGTGGTCAGGATGTGGGGCTGGTGAGCACTTCTTATAATGTCAATACCATCCTGAGATGGAGTCACTATTGTTTAACCATTTCTAGAGGAGAAAGAAGAGGACAGAGAGGTGGAGAAACAGGATTCAAGACTCTCATATCCTCATAAGCAGAGCCACAACTGCCCCACTGTTGAAGTGGCCGGGCATCTGTTACCTTGGGGTTACTTCGGACCTTCAGTTACTCATCATTAAAATTTGGAAACTTGATGAGGATGTCCTTCTCTGCGAATATTTTTCTCTTATTTGTTGATGAATAAAGGTGTTTCTGTCAATGATCAGGCAGGATTTAGCCAGGCAGTAAATCCATACAGGGATAGAGAAAAGTAGTTGATAGAGTCAGGGAGATGAAATGTAGCTGCTGGGGAAGCAAGAGTCCCAGGCATCACGGGTAAGCCAAGACCACATGGAGATACACAGATTAGTAGAAACTGGTTAATAATAAGAGAGAGCTAACCAATAAGAATCCTGAGCAATAGGCCAAACAATTCATAATTAATATAGCCCCTGTGTGTATATTAGGGATAAAACGGCTGTGGGACTGGGCAGGACAGAAACTTCCATCTACAGAAACAAACCTTGTTTGTATAGAAACTAAAAAAAAAGGAGAGGGGGGGAACAGATGATAAATGGAGGTTTGGGGGGGTGAAAAGTGGAAGGCAGATGATGATGGCTTGTGAGAAACAGCAAAGTCAGCTGGATAAACAACCCACACTCTCAGGCACTATGGACATCATTATGATGGTTGCTGAAAGAATAGAAAACACAAAGAGCATATGATGCAGCTACATACCCAGAGGAATCTAAGTCAGTACACCAGGAGATAAGATACACCACATCCAGAGATATAGCATAGCCACAATGATTGCTGCACTAATCACCATAGCCCAGATATGGAATCATCCTGGGTGTCCATCAGTAGGCAGATAAAGAAACATGCTAAACACACATGCACACACACACACACACACACACACATATACACACACACACTGTGGAGTATTGTTCATCTCAAATAACAAAATTGTGTTATTTTCGAGGAAGTAAATGTAACCGGAAATCATTGGGTTGAAATGAACTATACTCAGAAAGGCAAATACCTCATTTTCTTTTATATACAGAAGATAGAATTTTTAAATGTTATGACATCAAAGTAGAAAGGGGGTGATTTAGGGAACCATTGGAAAGAGGATGGGATGACAAGGAAGGGTAATGAAGAGGTGGAATCTAAAAAAGTGAAAACAATATATAATCAGCATTCCAGTTATTCCCACAGATTTGTCTCTGGGTACAGTTAAGTCAGTCTACCGGTGTGAAACCTGAGTCTGGCCACTGCCTATTCCTAGATGCCTTTAAAAGTCCAGGGTGCTAAAGCATGGGCTGTTTGGAACCTCCTGACTCATCTTTTCCCCAGTCCTCGAACTTACTAAGCACCAGGTGGATCAGGGCTGGCAGTCGCACCTACAGACAGGGAAAGCCTAGTGGCTAGGGAGGACAGAAGTTTAGTGCCCAACAGTAATACCTGCACGAAGCTGGGGCAAGACCTTTGGTATACTTTAGGATGTTAGACTGGGAAAGAAGTTGAGCTTGTTAAATCTCCCTCATTGGGAGTTCCCGGGGTGTCTCGTGGGTTACCTCCTTCGTGAATCCCAGGAAACATTTCACACCACTCTGACAGACACACATGGGCCTGATCTTAATCTCAGTGTAGACTGTGCTCTTTTTTTATTTTCTAAGGGAATGAGAAGGCTATTCCTCCTTCCTTTCTCTTCCTCAAGCTTGCTAAGGAAGCTTGATTTGATCCCATGACTGTTATAGATGAATAAATTATAGGCTCCGTAGGAAGGCGCTGACATAAATTACATTTCAGACAAGCTTTATTAGGAGAGTTATAGCCATTCCAGATAACATCATGAGAGCATTCAGTTTTGAAGCACAAAAAGTGATTTCCAAAGCTGAGCAGGAGCTTTCACACCATAGATTTTACCGAGGTACCAAGAGTCAAAAGAAGGCACTGGATAAGAGTAAAGTTATAATTCAGGGCTGCTTTGGTGGCCTAGAAAGATGGCTCAGAA